ACACACACACACACACACACGGCACACACACACACACACACACGCAACACACACACACACACACACAGCAAACACACACACACACACACACACACACACACCACACACACACACAGACAACACACACACCGCGCGACACACACACAAACACACACACCACACACACACACACACACACACACCACACACACCACACTAACACTAACACTAACACGACGCTCTACGCCTCTGATTTATGCCTGCCTTGACCTCCGTTTTCTGTTATTTGAAGCAATGCCGCGTTCCGAGTCAGGATAGGAAAAAGAAAATGGGTATGCACCACTGAGTGTAGAATACAATAATGTGCCGAGAAAGAGAGAGAGAGAGAGAGAGAGAGAGAGAGAGAGATAGATAGATAGATAGATTGATAGATAAATAGATAGATAGATAGAAAGATAGAGAGAGAGAGAGAGAAGGAGGGGGAGGGAGGGAGGGAGGGAGGGAGGGAAGAGGGAGAGAGAGAGAGAGAGAAGAGAGAAGAGAGAGAGAGAGAGAGAGAGAGAGAGAGAGAGAGAGAGAGAGAGAGAGAGAGAGAGAGAGAGAGAGAGAGAGAGAGAGAGAGAGAGAGGAGAGAGAGAGAGAGGAGGGAGAGGGAGAGGAGAGGAGAGAGAGAGAGAGAGAAGAGAGAGAGAGAGAGAGAGAGAGAGAGAGAGAGAGAGAGAGAGAGAGAGAGAGAGAGAGAGAGAGAGAGAGAAGAGAGAGAGAGAGGAGAGAGACGAGAGAGAGAAGAGAGAGAGAGAGAGAGAGTTGGGGTCGGTGTGAAGGAAGGAGAGAAGGCGGGGGAGGGAGATAGCAACAGATAGACAGACAGACAGATAAATTCACAGCACACGCATGACCAACAGAAGGAAGAGAAAGAGGAGATGAATAGATAGACAGCTTAGATAGATAGAGAGAAGCGCGTATTACCGTAATCACAACAGATAGCTATCTTAATTTTGTTTACTTTCGGTGAGTGAGCTTATCGACAGGAAAACAGTGCGTCGACGATATTAAATTCCTTAAGGCCTGTAAACAATTTTCCGATATGTCAGATAACGTCAGATAAAGGATGTATCACTGACTGCCAAAATACACATAGGGCAAAAGTGAATACCTGCAATTTTCCATGATATCCTACAAAGAGAGAGAGAGAGAGAGAGAGAGAGAGAGAGAGAGAGAGAGAGAGAGAGAGAGAGAGAGAGAGAGAGAGAGAGAGAGAGAGAGAGAGAGAGAGAGAGAGAAAGTCTGCCAATAAATTCTTTGATGTAAATCTTTGACATTTTTTTCCCTCTCTGAAGCGCATTTAAAAAGAATTCACATTTTGATGCCCAAAGGAACAACGGCATTTTATTGGAGGAATACTGGACAAAAAGGATAAAAGAGACTCATTCTTGGCATTTTTTTCTGTTAATAGGGATGAAAAAATGTCAATCGACTACTGAATATTCTTTTTCTTTCCCTCTTTAAAGAGCTTTTTTTTCAAAAATGACTAGTTATATAATTTCATACCTATCGTAGGCCTATAACAAATCTCCTTTCACAATCCCTCCGTTGCAAGTCATAGAACCCGGGGGAGGTGGGAGGGAGGTCTGCCCATTGAATTTGTCGGTCGGGCTGTCTTCTTGCCTAATTCCGCTTCTCTCTCTCTCTCTCATCTCTTTTCTTCCTCCCTTCCTCATTTTTTCTATTCTTCCTTGTGCTGGCGTTGTATTACTTATCTACTATTACCATTTTTATCAGTCATTCCCTTAAATCAAAATTATCTCATACAGACCAGATATAACGTGGACTCACCTCATTATCATGGCCAGACGTAATCTTCACAATCCTTGCATGAGAGATAGGGCCAGGCTATTCCTAACGTAAGAAACCCTTTTGGAGATTAAGATCAAATTTGCATTCACCTCGTATGGACGGCCAACCTTCTCGACCTTTCGCGATGCAGATATTCTTCGACCTGTTCCTCGTGGTAAATCTACAAGCCTATAAGTTCTATGGAAACTTTGGCAACTTCTCTCGTATAACTGCTGTGGGTCTCGATTCCCATGGCTTTAGACCCAGGGAAATATTAGGTAATGCTATCGAGCTAAATCTATTTTTGTTTTGTTTTGTGCCTGACTAATGGTCTTCAGTGTTTCATTTACTTATTCTATTTATTTAGGTTAATTTGTCATCGCTGAGGAATTTCATCCCCCATTAATAAAAGCATTATCGTATTCAGTTTCCGTTCCAAGAATTTTTTCAGTAGTCAAGATTTGACGAACAATAAACAACGAGAATTCTCCGAAATTATCATAAAAAACTGTTGATCGAGACAAAGATTTCTCTCTCTCTCTCTCTCTCTCTCTGTCTGCCTCCTTCCCTCTCTCCCTCTCTGACGTCAGTATTGGAGGGTTATGGAATGGTAATAATAATAAGAGAAAAAGAAAAGAGCCGGAAATCACCCCCTCTGGGTATCTTCTCCAACCTAATACAGAGT